AGGTTGTTCTTTATCTCACACGAGCCGCAAGTAAACAATGTGAGGTCAATAATAAAGAGAAGAATTGAGCGTGAAAAGTAAAACTCCCATATTACTTCTGACAAATTGTGCTGTGCTAGGAGTGAAAAAAATGTCTATGGCAGCTGCTGTATTGGTCTTTTCAAAGTTGGTAAGCTCTTGAGCCTAGTTATTAAAAGATATTTTTACTATATGTTACTGGACTGAAGGGGTTGACAATGTCAAAATACTGATGTTTTTGTGTGTCCAGGACAGTGCATGAAAGATGACATTGGTTAATCTTCATGTCCTTTGACATGAGACATCTCTACATGTCAGATGACTGGTAGCTGTGTTATGAAAGGGCAAAGGCACAGCATTTTTCTGTTGAGGACAGTTTTGTCAGATACTGACACTGGTATTGGCAAATCTCTAGGGTGAAATAAGGAGTTCTTCAGAGCGTTGTGGCTTTTGCTGAAGGTTTGAATGTTTGCAAGCGCAGAAGTGCTGAAACCACAAGTGTATTTTATGTTGTATTGGGTGACAGTGGCTTGCCAGGGAGCGAAGGATCAGATGGAAAATGCCAGTTTGCCATAGAAAGGCTGGAAAGAATGTGGATAATTTTTAACATGCACAAGAAGTTGTTGTGAGTTCTGTCTTCCAGAAATCCATGGGAAAGATGGAACGCACAAACCAAAGGACTGAAAGTGCCATAAAGAAATACGTTCCTACCTCTGGAAGATGTTTATTGTTTAATACAGTGGCATTGCGCTGACTTTTCTATTCCTTTTCTCACTTGAAATGCAGTGTCTGAAACAAGTAAAGGTTGCAACAGCTTGATCATAATTAACACGTTACATCCAACCTGTAGCTACTCTACCTTGCAGTGAGGCTAGAGGGGAGGGGATGCAGGTACTGGCCTCGGTATGTGCAGGATGACACTTGCTTTAGGACATGCTATGCTGTCACAAATAAGTCAGCCTCCTGCACTGATGTCTTCTGCCAGGTGACTGTCTAGTGTTTCAGAGGAAGGAAAAGCATTATTCAGTGCTGGTGAACTTTGGCTGGTGGTCAGAGCTGTATTGTCACAGATGTGGCTTTCAGCCTGAGCTGTGGCTGTTGCCAGACCTTGGCAGTGATTACTCTCAAGTTAGTAAGGCCATACAGTTGATTCTGTTTAGGCATTTCTTTGGTGTGTGTTTGCACATGCACACATAATAATAATAATAATAGTAATAATAACAATAACGTCTTTCTGTGCCCTTCACATCTGGTTTTTGTGAGTATTAATAATGATGAAATTCTTATTTTTTTTATACTTGTGCTGGCTTCACACTGATCAGACACCATCGATTTTAATGGAAAAGACCACCAATGGGAATGTTTGCCTCAAAATAATTTTCTTCTCTATCTGATAGTGGAAGGAATAATCTATTCTTTGATCTTTGGTTGGCAAACTTGGAAATCAGAAAGGAAGATGGTTGTACTGTAATAATGTTACTCTAAAATGACGTGTACGGTGAATGGTTTCTGGGCATTTAAATAAAGGCGGGTGTGCTGTGAGTTGTGATGAGGTAGGAGCCAAAATGCAGGGAGCATGGCTTTTGGAATAACCTTGTAACTGAGAGCTGAGGGAGAAGTGCCCCATAAGTCCATCTTTTGCTGGTTTTGGTTCATGCTGGTACTGTCCCTGCAATTATGCAAATGTTAATATCTGAGTTACAAAACTGGCCAGCTCCAGATGGATTAGTATGTAACAGATAACACACAGATTACATTTAATCATGAAGAAAACTTTGATCTGAACAGGATGCTACCTTTTTTGTGTCAAATATTCGAGGTGTCTCGTCAGCCCCTGTATCCCTGTACTGCCTTTAGCAGGGGATCATGAAGTGATCTGTCTTCACTAAGAGCTTCACTAATGCTGCTCTTTTGAAATGCTTGTATCTCAACGAGGTAAAAAATGGTCATATGTTTAAAAAGAAAAAAATAACATTAGTAGGTGTTTCTATGTAAGACACAGTACAGGAGAGACTCTAAACCAGAGGTTTTGTTTATTCTCTCTCCTGGGAACTCCTTGTTGTAATGTCTGAGCACCTTATAAATATTTATGAATGTATTCTCAAAGGAAAAATGAAATTTATGTAACGGAGATCCAAAGTGGTGTTAAAGGAAGCAACTTTCCAAAGGTTCCTAGACAGTTATACTGTGACAGAACCGGGACAGTAAATCAGACCATTACCTTCCATTTTGGTAAACAAGCCATCATCTCATCCTTCTTATTAGTTACTTTTGCCTTGGCTGCTTTCAGAGTAATTCACTGCTTGTCTTTGTGAAATACAAGTACTTTATTTGTAAAAAAAATACATTGTTTTTTTGTAACTTCGCACTCAGCCAGCCCACGCCTGGGTTGATGGCCAACAGGGGCTTGCAGTAAGCAGCAGGGAAGGAGCAGAGAGAACGTTAACGCTCAATTTACACTCCCATGTGACAACTGACTCTGGTCTTGCTCCTCGGCTGCTGGAGGTGTCTGGAGCATCACTTGGGAGTCGTCCGTGCTGAGAAGCTGATGCTCTGTGTGCTGGGGGTGAATTTGCGGCACGGAGCTCAGCAGTACTAAGTGCCTGGGAAGGACCGTACTAATGCTTCTGAAGGGGGATGTAGCTGCCTTTGCTTTCCCCTCCTCTCTCGTTCAGCACATCGTTGCGGCACGGCAGCTCCTGTGCTGTCAACAGCTTCCTCTTGCAGACAAGCCTGTAATGAAACAATTCCCTGCATTTACTGTTGTGCACTAACGAGAGGTGCTTATTTCGGCGTCCTCCAAATGATACCAGTCTTCTCCAAACCGTGGCTGAGGGGAAAAAAAAACACTGCAGCGATGGCAGCATCTCTCCTGTGGCCCGAGATTCAAAACTGTGTTTAGACAGTGACAAAGTGCATGAGCAAGAGGCTAATTCTCTGTTCCTCAGGGTTTAAAGGCTTTGTGCAAATCTCTTGGAAGTCAGTGAAGGACTTCTGTTACTGCAGTGGGCTTTGACTCTGACCCCAAATGCTCAGTTAATTTAAGGTGTGTTTTAGTCTTTTCTTAGCTGGCTTGTGGATATGAAATGGTATCGAGCAAACCTTTGGAGAAAATATTGAACATGCAAATCTGCACACTGATCTTGATCTTTTTGAAGCCATATGACTGTGGATGTATGCTGAAATACCCCACAGTGTGGTTCAGATGTGTTCCTCTTTGGTCTCGTATGTCTGTTTGTATGTTTAGTTGGCACTATGAGCTCTGAGGTCTTCTTTTAAGTTATTCTACAGTACTTTAGGGAACTCAGCTCTCATCACTAATAAAATAAAATAAAGCAAAACACTGATAGGTCTTGTCTTGTTAACTGTTATAGCTGTTGTGTTTTCCACTGTTCCAAAAAGTATCAAGCTTTATAAGATTTAACATATTCCCAGTGCAAAGCATGAATGTTTATAGGAAGAATAAGACTTCCCATTTTGAAATGTCAGTGCTATGAAATTGCTTTTTTGGCAGGCGTGATTAAGCCACGCAGACTTCCAATACTGTTTTGTAAGCTTTTTCCTTAATTATGGCTTAATTTAGGTCTCAGAGTTTAACAAAACCTATGAAGCTTGCATCAAAATATTTTTCTTGTAGAAAATTTTGTTTGCATAGAGTACAAATCCTGTATTCCTTGTGGGTATGATTTTTTTAATGTGTTTAAATGTGGAAATCCCGTATTTTTTCTTTGCGTTTCTTAAAGCATATGCAAAATAGAAATAGCTGATACTATGTGTTTAATACAGAATTTTGAAGAAATTAGTTTGAAAGTGCATGTGATTACTTTTTTTTCTCCAAATGCCTTGAGTAAAATGCACATGAGATTATAAAACATCAAGTAAGGGGCACAAGATTCCGTCTTAAGCAGTTACTGCTGCAAGAGACAAATTAGAAGCAACTTTACTCTCATATAGTTGTTCTTGAATGCATTGTTCTGACAACAGCAATAAATAGAATAATCTGCATAATTGTATTTCTGTAGTGTTGATCTGTCTTTCCAGAGAAAATCCCTTTTCCTAGATAAAATAATCTTCTATTCAGCTGTAAGTGGAAGAAAACCTCTTTAGCAGCTGCACGGATTTAGGGGAATGTTTCTGCACAGGCTTAATATAGAATTTTGATATGGACCTCTCAGTGAATTTGATTTTTGGTGAACAAAATACACTAAGGGCACTAAAGACACCTTGCTTTTCTGTGCAGATCAGATAACAGGATATTTAATCAGAAGAGCTAGACAGAAAAGCACAGAGATGATGCAATTAAACTGAGAGATTTATTACTAGATTTTTTTTTTAAAGCATTTTTTCTTAAATTGGTGTAATAAATTTCAAAGATAGAGTTTTGAGCAGCTTTGAGCTATTCCTGGCTTAATACTTAAGTAGAAACTGCAGAAGTGGTGGAAAAAGAGGATCATTTTGGGAAAAAACATTCAAAGAGTTTAAAACCCTCTGCTATGATCATGCTTTTCTGACCCCCTGCAGCCTTGCATTATTAAACTGAGAATGTCTCAGTCTCCCTAATATTAATGTTTGAAATATGATACAAATAAATTATCTGAATAAAGTAGAAAGAAAAAAAAAAAAGCAGTTAGCATCACAGCTACTTAGGGCCTGCTCTGCTGGCACTTAGACTTGCTGACATGAGCTTAGAGGTCATGGGCTCTGAAGCTGGACTTTCCAGGGGAGCTGAAGAGAGTGAAATCTCTTGAAACTCAGAGACTGAATGTTTTTAACATCTGGGTTTGAACGGTGACCTCAGCATCAGAAAAAGCAAATATCTAGAAAGCAGTTTGAAAACTGTTTTCCTGAAGATGATGGGGAATTTGGGGAAGGGAGTGGGATGGTGCTTTTATTGTCCAGGCAAAGGAACATTCTCTGTGATGGCAGAAAGCAACACCAGAGTCTACTCTCTGTGTTTGACCTATCTTTGCTCTTCTTTGCAGGTTACGTATTTGGGTAAGGTTTCCACAACAGGGATGCAATTTTTGTCAGGCTGCACAGAGAAACCAGTCATTGAATTATGGAAGAAGCACACGCTCACCAGTGAGGATATTTACCCAGCTAACGCCCTTCTGGAAATTCGCCCTTTCCAAGTCTGGCTGCATCATCTGGACCTCAAAGGCGAGGCGACAGTCCACATGGATACCTTTCAAGTAGCACGTATAGCCTACTGCACTGCTGACCACAACGTCAGCCCAAACATCTTTGCTTGGGTCTATAGGGAGATCAACGATGACTTGTCCTACCAGATGGACTGCCATGCTGTAGAGTGTGAGAGCAAGCTGGAGGCCAAGAAGCTGGCCCATGCCATGATGGAGGCCTTTAAGAAGACTTTTCACAGCATGAAAAGCGATGGCCGGATCCACAGGAATAGCTCGTCAGAGGAAGTGTCGCATGAATTTGAATCTGATGATGGCTGACTGAACTCATTCACAGCTCAGCAAAGGCAGAAATGGCCTAGGGTATGAGAGCCGATAGATGAATAAGCAACAACTGAAATTGGGGAATGAAAGGACTGCCAAACATTTGTCTGACCAGCTTTTTTAATCAAAAGAGCAATTCAGTACCTACAGATATGCATCATTAAAATAATTATGTTACATTGAATTCTGCTGCTGTTGTAAAAGTGAGAAAAAAGCTCCCTCCTCCATGTCTCTCACCCACCCATCACTGTCCCTTTCATGTCTCTGTAGTTCAGGTGCATACCATGAAGTAAATTCATTCCTGTTTTGTCTTACAAGACTGGTCAGGCAATTTTATTACTTGCTTCTCTGGCATTCCTAGCTGGGGGCTGATGCTGATGCACAAGAGCAAGTAGACCTGGAAAGCCCTAATGGTTCCTGAAGAATCTTTCGCCATAATGCATCACAAAAATCCTTTGATCGTATGTAGGCTAAGACAACCGTACATAGCCTTTTAGACTAATGGCCTGACATTCTGCAGTTAATTCACATTTCACAGATTAAAAAATGGAAGAAGATGCTTGTATGTACACATTATATCATATGCTATTCTTTATTTTATTCATTGTACCTGTTTTCTTAATATACCTGCTGCCACGTCTTTCACCCAGCACCAGTAGTTGCAGTTTCAGACTATAAACTGCAGAATACCAAAAAGAGGTGGGCAAAAATACTCCGTGATGGCTAGGGATACAGTGAGCTAGCCAGCACCACTATCTCTGCTTTTTCCAACCCTAATCTGCTCTGCAGGAGGGGGGCCCACTGGTAAGAGCTGAGATACACTTGAGTCTGTCAGTGTTTGAACTGTGACTTCTTGTCAACCTCAGGTCTGAAGTGATACGAGCACGGTAGCCTCAACTCCGTGTTACTTGTCTCCGCATTGCTGGTTGAGTGGTCCTGGTGCGATGGAGCTGGTAGTGCCTCGTTGCACAGCCAGGGCTGCGTTACTGTAAAGATCAGAGGAAACAGTCCCTTAGGAGTCAGGTTTGAGCATCTGTTCTGGTTGAGAAGCTCATGTTAAGATGCCCGTATCTTTCCTTGTTCACAGATAAACAGTCATGCCTTTCTTAAATGCAGATGTTTAATAAAGTACAAATAAAAGATAAAAAACTTGTTTCACTTGATATTTTTCGAGGCAGAGAACAGATCAATAGTTTGCAAGTAGTGCTGCTCCTTTATACAATTTTGTTCATAATTATGGTAATGTTAGGGGCACTAGGGCACCTTACAGAAGCCTTAAAAGAAAGCTAATTGAAGCAGATAGCTCTGTGTCTGTCTTTTGTGGGTCTGTATGTTTGTGTGTGAGAGTATATGTGTGAGTTCAGTGTTAAAGCATGTGGATTGAGCATGGAGACGTATTGAGGAGGGCCCACACCTCTTGAAAATATGCTTGTTGCTTTACAATGTATGTAAACTATTCTCCAGCATAAATGCATTCATACTTTAATAAAAAAGAAATGTTTGGAGTTAAATCTTGGGAGTTTTAAGCTGTCTTTCCAATGCAAACTCTGTGGTTTTGTTTTATATGTGTGGGTTCTGTGTTCATTTCGTTTAGTGGAATGAAAATGTCAATGTATTTCAATTTAATATTACATCAGCCTCCTTGAGAATTACCTTTAATATTTTAAAATTATTTTCTTTTAGTATTTAGGTAAATTATTGCTGTGTGTGGACATGAGTTATACTTTTTTCTTTGCAGGAGGTGACAGAGATATTCCCCACACACAGCTGGCCAGTTGAAATGAGCTCTGCTGAGCAGGAGCAGGATCTTGCCCTGCTTACAGAAATCACAGAGTGGCTCAGTGTGACATTACATGATGGGATGAGAAATAAATCACCAGAGCTGTTTCTCTGTGAAACTGTTGATGGCCCAGTGTTTCCAAATATGGCTCTAAAAATTAGATATTTTTTTCTTCCCACAATGCTTATTTTGATGTGGGGGGTCATGTACGGACTATATGTTGGTCAAAAAAAAAAAAAATCTGAGTCCTGCCATGTATGTATCTGTCTTTTTGACCAAAGACAAAATTAGGCAAAACATCCTTCAGCTTCTGACAAATCACTTTCTTTTGCTCGGAGCTGTAACCATGTGTTAGTTTCTTTACTTGCTCTGCCACCAAAGCTGCTGGGAATCAGCGTGCAAAATCCCTCTTCATCTGCTCCGCCAGATATCCCTGCCGACAATGGAGAGGTTTGGCTGCGAGTCCCAGCTCTTAACTGGGGGGCTGCTCAAGCGTGGGAAGGGGAGAAGGAAGATACAAGCTCTGCTCACACACAAGAGCTGAGATGGCTCCTGCCTGCCCTACAGAGGACTGTGGTGGGTGATTTGGGTTTGGGATTTCCACTTCTGGAGCCAAATACTCGAATCACGGGGTGTGTTCCTGCCGTGGGGGTGGGTGCAATCCTTTTGGCTGACACAGCCTGCCCTTCTCACCAAGTGGTCTGGGACAGAGCACAGCCAGGCAGAAATATTGCCACCATTTGGTTTTTCAGTCATAGTCTTTCCTCTAAGGTTCTGGGGTCTGCTGAAAATATCCCATCTCCCACAGTCCCTAGGGAGTGTTTTGGTTGTCTAGAGCTTAACGGTGGTGACGATAGGGTTGAGTGTTTATGGGTAAGAACCAGAGGGAAGGCCAACAAGACAGATAACGTGGTGGGAGTCTGCTATACACCACCCAACCAGGATGAAGAGGCAGATTAAACATTCTCTAAGCAGCTGGCAGAAGTCTCACAATCGCTAGCCCTTGTTCTCGTGGGGAACTTCAACTTATCTGATGTCTGCTGGATACAGCAGAGAGGAAACAGTCTCGGAGGCTCCTGGAGTGTACGGAGGAGAACGTCCTGACAGAGCTGGTGAGTGAGCCAATGAGGGCGGGCGTCCCCCTGGGCCAGCTGGCTGTGAGCAGAGAAGGACTTGTGGGTGATGCGATGGCTGGAGGCTTTCTTGGGCATAGCGATCATGAAATCACAGAGTTTTTGATTCTTGGAGAAGTAAGGACGGGGGTCAGCAGAACTGCCACCTTGGTCTTGCGGAGGGCAGCCTACAGGCCTGGTTGGCAGATTGGTTGGCCCTGAAGGAGTCCAGGAAGGCTGGACATTCTTTGAGAAAGTAATCTTAAAGGTGCAGGAGCAGCTGTCCCCATGTGCCGAACGATGAGCCGGAGGGGAAGAACACCGGCCTGGCAGAACAGGCCACTTTGGCTGGAACTCAGGGAGAAAAAGGAGAGTTTATGACCTTTGGAAGAAGGGGCAGGCAACTCAGGAGAACTACAAGGATGTCGTGAGGTTATGCAGGGAGAAAATTAGAAGGGCCAAAGCCCAATTAGAACTTAATCTGGCTACTGCCATAAAAGACAATAAAAAAAGTTTCTATAAATACATTAGCAACAAAAAAGGGATAGGGAGAATCTCCATCCTTTATTGTATGTGAGCGGAAACATAGTGGCAAAGGATGAGGAAAAGGCTGAGGTACTTCATGCCTTTTTGCCTCAGTCTTTAGTAGTCAGACCAGTTGTTCTCCGGATGCCCAGCCCCCTGAGTTGGGAGGCAGGGACGGGGATCAGCGTGAAACTCCCATAAACCAAGGGGAAATGGTTAGCGACCAGCTACACCGCTTAGGCACACACAGGTCTGTGGGGCTGGATGGGATCCACCCAAGGGTACTGAGGGAGCTGGCGAAAGTGCTCACCAAGCAAGCCACTTTCCATCATTTATCAGTACTCCTGGCTAACACGGGAGGTCCCAGTTGACCGGAAGTTAGCAAATGTGACACCCGTCTACAAGAAAGGCTGGAAGGAGGATCCAGAGAACTACAGGCCTGTCAGCCTGACCTTGGTACCAGGGAAGGTTATGGAGCAGACCATCTTGAGTGCCATCAGGCAGCACGTACAGGACAACCAGATGAGCAGGCTGCATCAGCATGGCCTTATGAAAGGCAGGTCCTGCACAAGTCTTACGAGGAGTGGCTGAGGGAACTGGAGTTGTTTAACCTGGAGAAAAGGAGGCTCAGAGGAGACCTTATCTCTCTCTACAACTACCTGAAAGGAGGTTGTAGCGAGGTGGGTGTCTGTCTCTTCTCCCAAGTAACAAATGATAGGACAAGAGGAAATGGCCTCAGGTTGCACCAGTGAAGTTTGGATTGGGGATTAGGAAAAATTTCTTCACCAAAAGGGTTGTCAAGCATTGGAAAAGGCTGCCCAGGGAAGTGATGGAGTCATCCCTGGAGGTGTTTGAAAGATGTGTAGATATGGTGCTTAGGGACATGATTTAGTGGTGGACTGGGCTGTGCTAGGTTAATGGTTGGACTTGATGATCTTAAAGGTCTTTTCCAACCCAAATGGTTCTATGGTTCTTAAATCACATGTGGGTGTGGATTATGCAGAGAGTACCTTTGTTGGGATGTTTGTTGTCTTTTTTTTTTTTTGAGGACGCTCTAGGTTTCAGTGAACAGTGCTGGCTTCATTTGGGAGCAACGCACAGAAGCCATAGATAGAAATGCAAAGGATTGCTCCAGTGTGCTTTTACTCTTCGCTCTGAAGTGGCATCCTGCTGTTTCCCTTCTTCCTCACGTCTGTGACTGGCAGTGTCTGCCAGAAGGAGCCCTGGGCTGTGGCATTAGTCTCACCATAGCCCACAGCCACATGGTATTACCCAGAACAGGAACAGTCTACGAGTTTGATTTTAAGCTGTTTCCTCTGCAGATTGTTGTCTGCAGTGATGTTCCATGTCAGGACATGATGTCATGCGTTGATGTTAGCAGCGCCACGGTGCACTCGCTTGGTGATGGGGATGCAGGTTACTCGGCTGTTGTTTTGGACTGTTGTATTTCATGGCTTGGTGTCAGAGAAATCAATTCTTTTGGGAACAGAGGGCTTACCTGTTTCTAGTTGTCTATGTGCACCTGGAAATCTGTTCCTGGGTGCTGATTAGGACCCTGAAGGGACCATTACACGTGGCAGAGGGGGAGAAGTGGCTGCCGTGTATGCAGCCCTCGCTGATCTTGCACTGATTTACGGTGGGTTGGGGAGTTCTCGCAAAGGTATTTATATTGCAGCGTCTGTGATAATTCCTCAGCATTTGGAGGCTGTGGATTACATGAGAATTTTGAATGATAAAAATAAAACACAAAAGAGAAAATTCTAGTCCTAATGATTAGACAATCAGACCTTTTGAAACATGAACCAGCTATTTTCTAAGGGTTCAAACATGCAAGGGAATACGAGGGAATGTGAACTCCAGTTTGTCTTAGAAAACATGAGATTTTAAAAATAATTAGTATCATGAGTTTGGATCCTTAGATACTTGGAATTCAGGCCAAATCCCTCTGCATTATCAATACTAAATGTGTGATGCCATTTGCATGAAGGAGAAAA